TTCAACTGTTCTAAGGAATACAAGGAATGATTTTTCAAAACTTCAGACTAAATCAATACTGATGGTAAAATTTAAACTTCTTATCCAGAAATTCACCTTGCCTATTCAAAAGAAATAAATTCAACTTAACCACTGTCAAAAAGGAAGCAAACGATGCAATGGTCCAATTTGAGATCCAGTGAAGACAGGTCTTCGCAATTAAATACCATTAGAAGATGTGCCTGCTCCAGAGTTTACATTTTAACAAGATCTAAGATTTTTACATTTGAAATCCCAAAATCCTGAGCTATAAAATTCACATATTTGGTGATAATAGTTAGAAAAAATTCCAAGTGAACTTTTAAGTTTTCCAACTGCAATTGGATATTCCAACCTTTGGGGGGGGGAGCGTCACGCTCCCACGCCCCCTACTTTTTACGTGCCTGTTAGTAGATTCTATACCACAGAAGTAGTTTATACCTTCGCTGATCACAGCTTCCCACACATCCATTATCAAAGCCTCTCTATTGCATTGGTTCCATCAAATGGCTTATGGCTCAGATGATATTTTGCTCTGGAAAATAACTGCCTTTTAAGTGTTCATGCACGCACTCAGGTCAGTTTGTTCTATTAGCATCCAGTTCGCATGCATACCTTCAGAAGGGTTTGAGTATCAGTTAGCCCCTAAATAATTTTCAATCTTTCTTCTGGCATATTGCATGTTTAGCCCTCTAAAACATCATAGCCTTCAGCAGGGCCTCCGACGAGGGGGGTTGGGGGCGGGGGGGCCTGCCTTCCCCCCACTTTTTTTGCAAAACAATAGAGTTTTTTTCAAAATATTTTGTCATGGGTGTTAAATTTTCCCTTGGCCCCCCCTCCACTTTTCAACCTTTGTCGGAGCCCATGTTCAGTCGGTGCTCCGCGGTTCTCATCATGATGCACCGATGATAAAAATTGCTTCTTTCTGAATCTAGTACAATATTTGCAAAATGTTAGAGGCGTAGTAATTATTTTATTGGCAGCTTAGTAGATTCACTGGTGTATGCGCAAAAGTAACATGTTATATCTGCCCCTTGGAACTTCAAAGACAATAGATGTCAAAGAACGTAAGATGAGTAATAAACCCAGACTGACAATAAACAAACTGTAATTTCGTACTACAATCATACTTATTCATTACTTACAGAACTTTATCTTTATACGGTCCTGTCATGTTCGCTCAAAATTGATATATCTTGGCATTAGCGCTATTTTATACTATTTTCTTACGTAATCAAGCATTGAAATTACGACTTAAACCTTGTGATTACTCTCAAATTCTTCAACTTATTCAAAGTATTTCAAATATTGTGGAGTGTGAAACCCCCCACACCTTTGCATTTATGTGCCTGTAGATGCTCTTTGGCTTCAAGCACATTTTCGTTCCGACCACCCAGCAAGCTATTTCGCAACTGTATACAAATGTGAATTAAAATTTGAATCACTTCGTATGGAAATTTGTAAACATTTCTTTCTTTAAGACTATCAGACATTCCTTTCTAGCAGTCGTATTTTCTTCCAGTTTTATATTTTTTCACAATCGTTTAAGGTAATGTGGTGTGGTTAATGTTAAATGTTAAATGTTAATGCTAAAGACACTTCAGGGGTGGCCTTGCACTTCGGTGGCCCGAAACCTGAAATTTTTAATTCCATGAAAGTAATGGCCTGATAGGATTTATCTTGGGAGGTCTCGCCTTAAAATTGGGTTCTGATATCTTAAAGCAAATATTAGAGATTGAAGGACTTGAAGATAAAGAATTAAGCTATTAAATTGAATCTTAACAGCCAAAGGAATAATACGATTCTTGATATCAAACAAATTTTTTCATTTTCCTCACTGCTATTTATTACACTAATTCATAGACTTTTCGGCTGCCCAGCATATATGTAGTCATTTTTATAATCAACACAGTTTAGGCCTTAATGAACGTTCGGTCTGCTGGCATAGATTGGTTGTTTGCGCTTCTGTTTTCAAATTGTAATCTTGAATGCATCTACAGCTTTGTTATTGAGCCCAATAATTGCTATTTCATATCCTAGCTTTATATTGACCAACTGAAAGGGAATGGTTTGAATCGACCATTTGTGCTAAATAATTTTCATTTCATAGATCCTAAATTCTAATTTGTCAAATTTTCTATCCGTAAGTACCCTGGATTAGCATAGATGCAGTTACTGTGGCAATTGTTCGATTGTTTCTTAAGTAACTATCATGGTTTTCTACGTCATTTCTTTCTGGGAAAAATTTCCGCTAAATTCTCTCCAAAATTAGCTTACAATTTCTGTACATTTGAAGGACAAAAGTGGTTTTGGTAACCATTATGAATCACCTTGAATTGTGGTCTGTACCTAGTTAAAGGCGAGCTTCTGTGATTGCGTGTACTGCTAACAGGTGCCAAGCTCCAGGGCCACCGAGAGCGAGGCCGGGCCCCATGCCAACCAATGCTTGTAGGCCCCTAGCTTGAAAAGGGATATAGATTTCGGAATTTGACAATTAATATAAATCAACTTGCCCCGGGCATCTTTCTCCCTTGGCAGTCCTGCCAACCACAGCAACTTTTCGGGCTGTGGAAGAGCATAGTTAAAATGTTGCTAGATAGTATCATACTGTATGGCAGTTATTGATTAAGAAACCAGCGGTATCAGATAAAAAAATATGGGATTTAGATACATGGGCTGACCAGGGTCTCGTCCCTAAATGCTGTAGAGGCTACGTCATCTTAAATTAAAATTGCATGACTCTATTTTACGTCTCAATTAGTTATTTCATTTTCTCGTCAATTTTTGATGAAATAATGAATTTATCTTGAATTAAGTGGTATGATATGTCAACCCCATAGCACCGCCCTTGACCTATAACTACAGCTGAATATCGATATAACGAACTCGGGAAAAAAACCAGAAAATATTTCATTATAACGGGAGTTCGTTAAACTGGGAGAAAGCAGTCCAAGCATAAAAATACCTTCGTGTGGTGTTCCTCAACTTCTGTGCAAGTTTCGCTCAAAACAAACAAGCTGGAATCAAGTATCATAATTGTTGTTCTTTACACATTACAATTTGGCTTTCTGTGCTTTTTCACTGAAATGTCATAAAGCTTAGTAAAGGTGTTTTAACTTCTGCAAGCATCTCATCTCCATTTTCAGCATCCTAAAATGTGCATGTTTTCCAATGTATGTTTTACCAATGACAAACGATTATGGTGACAACGATTTCCCCTCAGACAAAGTGACAAATGAACACCGGAAAGAAATAGATCAAAATAACAGATGAGAACTTTATGAAGTTGGTTAAATCAGGGGTAATTATGGTGAAGGGACCTAAAATTTTTTTCGCAATAACGAGAGTTCGTTATATCCGGGGTTCGTTATACCGAGGGAATTTTTAATGAGTTTTAAAGAACTTATAGGCAGAATCCAAGAGACCAGACATTTAGTTCGTTATACCGGGAAGTTCGATATATCCGAGGTTCGTTATACCGAGGGAATTTTTAATGAGTTTTAAGGAGCTTGTAGGCAGAATCCAAGAGACCAGGCATTTAGTTCGTTATACCGGGAAGTTCGATATATCCGGGGCTCGTTATATCGGGAATACACTGTAGTTCTGTTTTCTGCCTGTTGTTGTTTATAAAGTGTTTCATTTTTACCCAAATATTAACATCAACCCCGCCTAGTTTTAATGCATATCATCTACAAAAATGTCTTTTCAGAAATAATCTCAACAACATTTTCGCAAGTTCTTCAAAGCTACGCGATTATCCTTGCTAAAATCTTGCTAAGAAGACCAATAATTGAAGTAGTTATCTCCCACCTTCTTACATTGAAGAGCATGCGCAGTTATGACAACAATGATTTCAATCACATTTTCATTGATGGTAAGCACGTTATATAGCACAGTACACAGAAATAACCCAATTATATGATAGTATCTATAACTTGCTTTTCTATTTCGACTAGTCGCTTCATATGAACCCGTTACTATAGCGATATGAATTACAGTCTGGCCAAAAACAGAGTTATGTAAGAGACTTTCAATTGGAACTTAGTCTAAGCAACAGCAACAGCAACAAAAGCAACAGATAACAATAGCAACAAACACACGCAACAGCAACAGCCTTTTTTCATATCTTGAGTTATTCAATTTTACCGGTATAAGCAGTAAGTGGGAAGCCCATGTACCCAGCTTTGACGTTTGTCAGTGACCTAGGAAGTATTCAAAAGATGCAGGAAGTTTAGTGATCCTTATGAAAAGCAAAGAAATTTCAGAAACAAACGACAACTGCCTTAACTTTATTTCTCGAGTTGACAAAACGAAGTGTGAATCCGATTCCTGTTACAGAGATAAACTGTCTAACATTAGACAAGATAAGCTGTTTCCAAGCATGAACACTGCAAAGTAACCACCAACCCCCCTACAGCTTGCTCTCCTTCTAGCCATAATACACATAAAATTTTGCGCGAAGGCCAAAAAGCACTAAGATTCTTATATACTCACTAAACATTTATTGTTTATTTTCTTATTATGATGTTTTAATGTTGGACATGCTTCGGCTGCATAAGTAGGCCCTTCCTTGTTGCTAAGGCGCTTTCTCCAATATGAGACATCCCACGTCTACAAGGTGCAAATGCTAAGCCCTGCACTTTTCTACTACAGCTATGTTTGTAAAGCCATTGCTAAAAGTAGATAGAGGATTTACCTTTAACCCATCCCAGGAAAGATAGGAAAGTAACAGTTTTGTATAGGAAGGTTAAATGTTGTCACATATCTCCGATAAACGTTAACTGCTGGTGAGAGGTTGAGCAGCACCCCAGCGATGAGTGCCTAACTGCTATTATACTAAATAAACTCATGTTTTGAAATGATATTTCTGAAAATGCATAAAGTGTTAATTGCATTTTCACGTCGATGAACCTGTCAGAAGAGAATGACATTTCTCGACGAGATCTCAGAAAGTTCTGTCTGGTTTTTCTTTATATAAACTTTATATAACGAGTCTTTCATCTTTTTAAACAAAGCCGTTGCATAAAACGTCAATCGGTCAAAATCTATCAATGCTGCTTATCGAAAAACTACCAAAGTTATAAAGAATTCATAAAAAATCGAAGAAACGCCTGTTCCCTCGTGACTCGTCCTCGTGCGATTAAGAAGTAAGAAACGCATTTTTAGCATTTTGATCAGGTGACAGGGCATGCAGTACCGGTGTTTTTCAAGAGGTTAGCAACAGACTATATTGAGTAATAAAAATCATAATTGCGGTGGAGATTGTGAAAATCCAATTAAAGTAAAATTGCGGAAGATTATAACCCTCTACAGAATACTCATTCAAAATCAACAACGTGTGCTACACGGCACCTACATTGCGTTCCGTTCGCGGTTTCTTCGCACGCTGAACCAACAGCCGCGTGCACGGTTCTCAGTTATGCACAGACATGCGAGTGCGGGACGTTCGCGAATACCCTTTGAAATCAGGTAACTTTGTATCTGTAAAGCCATCCTTTATTTCAGATTCATCCGCCCCATGCTCGATTAAACAAGAGGCACACTCGAAGTTCCCACTTTGTACCGCAAAATAGAGCGGTGTCAAGTTCGTTTTGCTTTTCAAATTTACATTAGCTCCGTGTGCAAGCAACAATTCCACGGCTTCCGTAAAACCAAGCTGTGCTGCCCGATGCAGTGGCGAGAAACCTTCTTCATCCTTCAAGTCTATATCTATTCGCTTTTTCTTTTTAAATAACTTCCCGAGCTCTTTTAAATCACTGTTCCTAACAGCATCATGAAGTGGAAAGGAAACCCTGTTCGGAACAGAACTGCTTCTTTTCAAAGCCATATGCAAATCATCCACTTTCCCAGCTTCTTCCAGATCGGGATCCTTGGTAGAATAATCGAAAGATTCGTTCCTGTTCTTTTGACAAGATAATAACAAACTCTTCAACGACCTTCTCGGTTGGTTACCAGCTCCACAGTTGTTTATTCCCGATCTGCGGTACGTTCCTGGAGAACTAAGCGAAGTGATCCTGCTTCTGCTTTCAACATGCTGTTCCCAGGGTGCTTTCTCAGCCCTGCTGATTCGTCTCTGTCGATTTTTGCTATCGGTTTTATAATTGACACTGCATTCACAAGATGCACTTGCAATGTCATAATTCGATACATCCATGTCAACAGCCAATTGCCTAAAGATCGATACTTCGAAAAAACAATCGGTCGATGAAACACAGCTGATAAAATGCAAGGCTGCTTGACACTGCGAGTCCAGGCGCGAACGCTCGTTTTGCAGACTGACTCAATACAGCCTTCCCACGTAGAATGTGTACCACAGGTCGATTTGTTGACCGAGGACCAGGGTTAGCAGGTTGAATGAAACATCTAACCTTTTCCTTAACCTTTTCCTTTTGTGCAATAAATTTACCCAGCTTGCAACACTTGTTTGCGCAAACAATTTTGTGAAGCGGACAAATATTCTATCTATCCGCGCCGCTAAAATTGACTCGATCGGCATCCGAAACCGCAGCTTGACAATGGCCATAGCCTGGGTTCTAGATATTGGAGAGGGGGGGGGCAAGGTTACAGGATAATAAATGTATAGAACCATCCCTCTGTTTTTCAAGAAAATCCCGTTTTGTCTCTGCAATTCTTTTCTCTACATAATATTGTTTTAATCTGACATATATAATCTGGCATGTCATGAAGACTGGCGAATATGAGACAAACGGCGGAAGCAGAAATATGAGGCAAATGGAGGATGTAGAAATTTGAGGGACATAGTTTAGATTTACTAAAAGTAGAAGCACACGGGTGCTATTGCAATCGAAAGGCAGCTACTAAAGAAGGTTTTATAAAGTTACCAAAGTTATACACCTTTTATAAAGGTTTTATAAAGTTACCAAAGTTATAACCTTTTGTTATACACCTTAACATACAGATTACATTCATTCTTAGGTAACCACACACTCCAGAAAATTCCATTTTAAAACTCGTCTTGACTTCAACTTATGATTGCTGGATAATGATCTATAAAACCGAAGAATGATATTTTGATAACAAACTGCCTACCAGCCCTGGGCCTTAGTTTCTCATTAAAAAAATCGCGTTTTGGTGAGTAAAAAAAGAAAATGTGTCTTCCAGCAAGAAGATTGAATTTTGAGTACAGGCCTGTACTACATATCCAAGTCAATTTGCTAAGGTGGCTAGGAACTTGTTTGTTGCCGCCATATTTCGTTTGTCAGTGAAAGGATCTACCAGACCGATCTGAATCCTGAAATTAGAGAGAATAAAACCCCTTCAGCTCAACATTGAAACAAAGCAATAAAACTATTTGAATGACCCAATCGAACCACAAATCAGTCCCTATCAACATAGATATTCTGTCTTTATGAAGATAATTTTCAGCTTTTTGTTTTTTGCTTCTGTGTACTATGACAGTAATGCACAATAAGTCTTTAAAACTGACGTTCGCCGATAAAAGTCACTACGGACCAAAAAATGACACGATCCTTTTTCAGACGCCACAGAAAGCATTCACCTACATTGAACTTTTGGGCAGAGGCCCTCAAGATGAGATACGAAAGCTTTATTACAGAAAAGTCTTATATACTTTGCCAAATTTTAATGAAATCTTTCAATTTTAGCAATAGACAAGTTATCTTACCAGGCAGGTTCATTCGCTACAGTCTCATCTGACCGTCATTTTGAATTGAGAAAACGTACTTCCTTTACCTTTTTCAAAAATATTTTTGATGTGCCATAGTATTCTTGATAAGTTAATGATTTTAACCCTTAAAAAGTCACGTCTGCACGGATAAATGCTCAAAAGTCAAAATGTTTCACAGCAAACGGACAAAACGTTCTATATTAACACGTAAACGATCCGCTTTTATGTATCTGTGTTTTGATAAGGTTCTATTTTTGAAGGCGTTTTCCAACGCTTGCCTTTTCCGTCACGGATTAATTGTTGTCATGTAGACGGGAGGTGGAAAAGTAAAGAAACAATTGAGTTTTCTTTTGAGAACTGGTGTAGAGTTTCGAAACTCGTCATCTTACAGCAATTGTAAGGTTAAACTGTGTCCTTGCGAAGGCCTTGCTAGGCCGTGGTCACCAAAACAAACCTTAGCTCATGAGCATAAGAAAATCAGGGCGTCGGCCTCTGGCGTTTCAAGTACTTTTTGAAGGGTTGAGATCTCTGAAGGGGTGTGGAGCCCAATACCCACTGCTCGTACCCTTATTCTTTGCTGCAAAATCTAAACCACAGTATTGCGCCATTTTCTGCTGCAGCAATGAACGCCTCATTATAAATGCTTATAATGTCAGCTGCAGAAAATAATCTCGGAGGAGACGAAAGACTGTCCACTAATCCTCAGGTATTATTCCTAGTTAACCAAAGGATTGCCTTCTGATTGCCGTATTGTGTTAAGCGATTCTGATCTGTTTAAAAAGCCTCCTCAAAACAAAGATGATCATCTTCCATACTTATACTACTGAGGTGATACTATGAAACATTAGGAACACAGTCAGTTATATGATAAAGAGACTTCAAAATAGCCTCTCATGAATTATAGATAATCATTTATGAATTCTATTCAAATGCAGCAAAGCTATTGCCAATACAGACGATTCTCCTTAGCCTCGCCTACTTTTGCTAACAATTAATGAACGTCAAACAGCCTCTTGATGTCCTAATCCTCTTCTGCATTCAGTTCTAACTCTCCAACTCCCTCTCTATTTGCCTATGAATGAATCATTATCTGCACTCTGCCGTTAGTATTGAATGGTTTTTAACATAAATCTTAACTCTACTGCATGTTTCCCAATGATAACACCAATTTCAAACCTATACACAGTCAACGACCCCGAGGACGGCCAATGAATACAAAAGAAACTTAGTTGCCACAGCCCAACCCTGCCTTGTTTTCATTAATTTCAGAGAAAGCTTTTTAGAGCTCAAGGGTATTTCCCCGTGGAAGATGTACTCTGCTGATAGCACAGAATAGGCAGTATTATGTTTCTCGTAAACTTAATCGATTCAGTTATCTAATGAAAAACTGTTTTATTTCTGTTTGCCAGTACTAACCTACAACGACCAGTAGTCGCACCCAACAAGCAACACATTCATTTTGAGACCAACACACCCAAAGAGATGGTGTCGTGCTGTATTTTTCGGTTGGATCGATGGCACTTATACAAAACTCCAAGCTGAGACAAAGTGAGTTAAACCTTGCTACACATTACAGCACATTTTGTGATTTGTGCATGACATTCAACAAGTTGAGTTAAAATATTTGGGAAAACATTCTTACCATTGTGGTTAGAATTTTAACTGAGCAAGGCAGAATCCAGCCAAAAGGAAAGCTGATAAAATGGAGAGCAACCACAAAAATGTTTCAGTTTGCCTACTAGAGAATTGGTAAAGCCACTAATTTGATCCGATCTTCATTAAATAAGCATGAAACATAAAACACTCGTTTCTGCTGCTAGAAAGTCGTTTAAAGCTTGACTTGATTATGGCGCGTGAATAAGGAGCAGTTCCTGCAATAAGAAATCTAAGTATACTGTATGTTGATTGTAAGAGAAACAACTCTTAATAATCAATAAGTATTCACGAGTTAAAAGACGCTCACTATTCCCAAATCCGTAAGAATTGAAATATTGGAAATATTCCTACAGCACGGATGCCAAACTAGCTGACATACCTTCAAAGTATCATCCAAATGTTCAAAAGAATATACATCCAAAAGCAAAATACTGCAAAACCCTAACACCGAACTAATGTCGTTTAGCACTGAAATAAACTCTAAACGCCGGACACTTTCCATCATTGGACATGTCCTTTCAACGGACAGTGCGTTTGGTCCTACGCTTGAATTAAGGTTGGTTGGACCTTATTTTCACGGCTTTCAAGGGACGTACAATCTTTGCCATAACTCCTTAGAACACCTACATATTTTGCTAAACTTTTTCTTTTTTCGCTTGTTTCCCGTGTACGTAGACTAACCCCCTCCCCCTTAAAACAATGTTGATTACAATGCAGTATATCACAGCGATCGGTAGAAAAAGGTTTGCCAAAAAAGTATGCCTTAACTTTTGTTGTTAGACAACATTGTTTGAAGGAGGGGGGGGGGGGGACGGATGCATGCAAGTGTTGAAAATATCACAAATGTTCCAATAATTTTGGCAGCAACTGTAACCTTCGAAGCACTTCATGTCAACTGGAATTATCTTCAACTGATTTCACTAATATAATTAAGAATGCTGAGCAAACCATGCTTCTTTCCTCTACAGAAAATCTTCTGATACATAAAGACATTAGAAATGAGAAACACAACCTCAATTTCACAAGGACGTTTTTTCTCGTTAATCCATGTGTCACGAGTAAATAGTTACTCATTTCATATATGCTTCGAATTCAGGCTGAGTTTAAAAGGGTATGTCCTTGTCTAGAACAGGGACCGCAGAAGAGAGGGAGGCTACAAGGGCTTTTGCTCCCCCCAATAATTTCAAAAATGTACTTAAAGTCATACCAAAAATCGTCCTGATCTTGGTTTTTAGCGCGTTTAACTCCCCCAAACATTTTAGCCCCCTCAATCTAAAATTTACTCCGCGGTCCTTGGTCCAGAATGTCCTTGTAAAAGGCAAAAAGATTAAATGACTTAAAATTGCAACCAGTTTCATCCAACAATCTTTTAAGGAACTCTACTGAAGCTCGTTTGCACAGCAAGTCAGCCTTTAAGTCAGTAGTTGGATTACGTGAGATGAGATTATCGATTCAGCTTACAATCCCGTGATTTCATAATATTGATACAGTCCTCTATTTTTCTTTGACACGAATCATGTTGATGATCAAGTATGTTTGTAGAAGGCTGAAAGCAAAGCTTTGCCACATAATGGGTTTCAGAATAATAATCTATCATTAGGGTGTTACTCTCTTCAAAATTTCTTTACAGTTGATAAGGTTTGAGTACTTAAATATAATAACAATTAAAATGTAAACACCTATTTTAATCTTGTCTATGTCTAAACTTAATCAAGTTTTGAGATTTTTCTAAACACCGTGGTTAGTCTATTAGGTTTCACATGCCTTCTCCCAGACTGCTTTAGTTGCCAAATCTTATAGCCTAGCAAAGCAAGTTACAATGCTGCAGATGGAAAATAATTCTAAAGAGCTTTGATCAATACGGGAAATCCTTGGTCAATATAGCAGCATTGATTAAATTTTGCCTAGACTTTATCCATTTCTGTCAATTCTCAGTCTAAATCGATTCGTTTCTAATACAATATGAATTTTACTTAACATTGGACCAGTAAAATATAAAGGAAACAACTTCCGGAGAAAAGGGGAGCCAACAAGAGGGCTGACTTTACAAAACCGGGGAAATGGATTCCTTTGGGTGTTGCCTCTATATATGCCGCGTCAAAAAAGTTGTCATGGCGGAACTCAATAGGCGATAGTGATTTGTGTTCTCTCAAAACCTGAAAATAGCTGCCAGTATGGTATTATCTAGTGCTAATGAATTTCTTTGAGACACATAAGCAGCTTCCAAATCTAGTTGTTCTGCTTCGAGGGGATGGTAACACTTGTGGCGGGGGAATTTACATGAATAGCGTCGAGAATGCACCAATGAGCATTGCTAGAATGTGTCTAGATATATATATATATACCTACAGTTTGTTTCTGAGCAGAGGGTGTCTCTCTAAGTAAAATCAAGTCTGACATCATAGCTTCATTTATGTGTGTCGGAAAGAGAAAATAATTTTGGCAGACTGTCTCAAAGCAACCACAAAGCACCCTCTTCAAAGAGTTTTGATTATTCAAGGTAAAAAATGATTGACAATTTTGAAAGATGTCTAAGGATCTGCTGTAAAGGTCGATTGAACCACTTGGACATCAATAAACCCGAAAAGCCAATGCAATATAAAGCACTGGTTTTGATGCTCTTCAATACTGAAGCTGTGAATTGCAAGTGTCCAATCTTCTTAATCTGTCATATCATCAAGTGAATTCTTAGCTAGTATTTCATTTCATGTGAATAGAACAGCTTCGTGTTGCAAAGCTGTCTGGTGACATACATATCTTTTAAGCAAACGCGTTCAAAAAGAATTAGGCAGCATACAGTTTTAAAAGCTTTTCAAATTTTAATTAAGGCAATAAAAAAACTTTTGATAACAAAATACTCTAGAATGTAATTTCAGATTAAAGGCCCTAGCTATAGCGAGACGGATGAAGTGTTCGAAGACCTCGTTTTTGACGTTTGTAATCCTTGTGATTCACTTTATCGATTAGGTACCGTAATTTCTCTGATCGGCGCACGCGCTTGAATGCACGCACATTTTAGAAACCGTTTCTTTGAAGGCAATCGACAGATACTATGGGGGCTTAAACCATCTTTCAGTCAAGAATTGACCAATCAGTGAGTGTGATTCCACTCACGCGCTTATTGGTTGGCTAAAGTTAATTTACAGATGGCTTAAGCCACTTTTGTATCTGTAGTCTGCCTCTAATTTCCGCAAGGAAAACTGAAATGATCATCTTGCTGTAATTGCACTCATCTTGCACAGCTGGTACCGTAAATCTAGCTTTTAGGCTTCTCTGTCCATTGTTCTCTTTAGAGCGTTTGTGTAAACCAGGAATGATAGTCCTACAGGCGCATTACTGTCACAATTGACTGGTGGTTTCTAATCGACCTTCCCTATCTTTTGATAAAGGCACACATGCTCGAAAAGCGAACACGCTCGATTAAGCGCACACCCTTGAACAAAGCTTTATAAATACGCACACAGCGCGCTTATTAAAAGAGAACGAGTTTCTTTCCAAGCTTTTCTAGTCAAGTGGATGGCTCAATTCTTCATTAAAAAATAGATGCACAAATACAATAACTTTTTGCTTTCCATGTCAAACGAGGGCCTACTGATGCAAGGATCTTGTTGGGCATTGTCTAACAGAGCATCAAAAGGACATACACCTACTAGATCTGGATTTCGTCATGCATTATAGATCCACAATAACACTTACTTAATGTTTTCTTTCACTTGCTAAGGTAGAACATGCGATGTTTTTAAATTTGTTTTTTAAAAGAACTCGTACTATTGTTAATATAGTAACAAAGTTTGGTTTTTCATTTAACTACAAATGTACGTAAGAGTCTTTACACAAGAAGCGAGCGTCCAGTTCCTCCTTCAGACTTTTTCAGTAGGGAAATACTAAGGTCCAGAACAAGATAAAAGTATCAAAGACTATCAAAGACTTCCAGATCCTCCGAAATAGTCTTCAAAATGAAGTGCCCATTTGAAGCTTAATTGCTGAAACCACCGGTGGTATGTGAATGCACTTTTGCCATCAAGGATATCATCTAGAAAAGCTGCAGTCTCCATGATATTTCCAGCTTTGGCATTGACTCTTTTTACCATCGATTTCTCCATACCAGGTAGGCCTATCCCGTTAGTTAAAGCCCAAACTTGTATGGGGTGCGTCTTGGTGTAGAGGGTGTCTTCCTGCCTGGGGTGGCGATTTGGCTCCTAAAAGGGAAAAAATCCTTAGTAAAATCATAGTGTGAGCCAAAAATATCCCAAATTTTAAGAGCACTTAAAAGTATCAGAGTCTGACACTAAAGCTTTGTAGAAGAAACATGGTTGATAGTAGTTGTATGAGCGTCACTAACAAACCATCAACAAGCGGGACTGGGGCTTTGCGAAAAATTTATGAGCAGTACTGGTAGGATGACCTAAGCATTATCGTTTGCAGCTTTGCCCCTTTGCCAACGTTGTTTATAGTTATCTGACTCTCAACTACAGCTATGCATATCACAGTGATTCGCGTGAGGTCGCTAAGCAATAATAATTTAAGAGTTTTAGCGAAGGAATCATTAGCCACAAATGGCACTTTATTTACATTTTCAAAATCACTGTTGAATTCAGCATTTTTTAAGAGTTATTTTTAAGAAATTGAATTTCGCTACTGATTTAGTTATTCTTGATTTTGTTTGATCCGAGAAAACATTGAAAATGCAGCTATGTGTCAAGATAATTGATAGGCAAACAGCTACTGCAAATTTCGGCAAATTTCTTAAGCCGTGCATTTGCTTTGTGAATGAAATAATGACTATATTTGACAAATTCAAATCTAACTTCGTTTTAATTCACTCATTTCAGCTCAAACGGAAATTATTTCAGTTAATTGATCACAAAATAATCCAATTTCAAATGGTGTGTTTGAAAACAAGTTTGATTATATTTGGAAGGAAACTTTGGCCATCTTTAAAAAATAACTTGCTTCCCTTTCTGTGCATGAATTTTAGGAGCAAGAGACGTATCATTTAACGGAAGTAACATATGCCTTTAATAAAAATTATTTTGCTTTCAAGAAAAATCCCGCAAAAACACTAAAAATCCAAATTTTTTCGGAAAAATCTCGTACCGTAGTATAACAGCCTTTAATTAAATAATAACAACCGTCTTTCGATTGAAAAAGGATATGACGAAGCAGCGAAAAAAAACCAGTTTCTTTATTCGCCAGTTTTGAGGAAATACAAAACAAATCACGATAGACCACTGTAAAATGATCCTAGTTTATTCTTGATGAATATGCGTGTATTAACAGCTTTACTTTACCTTCTTTCTCTGATTCCTTATCGAAGTAAAAATTCAGCATTTAATGCATTGAACATTGTATATGTTTATGGTTTAAGGCAATAGCTGTCGAAAACTCAGTATGTGATTTCTAGTAGCAGCTTCTCATTAAGAGTGCAGACATGAGTGCTTGCTTATACGCAGAAGATGTGGAAAATTGACATCAAAACTCATGAATTCCCAAATTGCATGATTCCGTAAGAAAATCCCCTTTTTAGAATACGCCCCCCCCCTTCCATACAGTATTTAACTAATGCAATTATTAGTTAAGTTTTCTGTGATAACACTCTCGACAGCCTTTGCAATTAATACTGGCCCAAAACACTATAAGTAAACTCGAAACCCAAGATAAAAGTAGCAAGTTTTACATTTGTATGTTGAAAGCTAACCTTGGTGATGGTGTTACGTGGAGTCTTTCGATCTCCCTGTCTTTCAGCTTTTTACTTGCTTCTTTCATTTCTTCTTCCATTGCTTCTTTATTATTTTCAGTTTTCACTCGTTTCTCCTAAAAAAATAAATTATCTATATACAGCGCTTACTGACTGACAAATAAAAACATAGATATTCCCAAGTTAATAATAATTAATCAAAACTTCTGCACACGAATAATCCCTTTATTATCAACATGGATTAATTAATATCAACATGGATCAAGCCCTAAGCATTGACATCTCAAAAATCGACCCATTTAGATTGACACAAACGGCACGCAAGGTGTTCCTTATTCTTGGGGGAAGAGACCCCTCCCCCATCTTTAAATCGATTTTGTCAAACGCATCCTCAGAAAAATATTTTGACAAATCGTTCACATTATCACAGTAAGATGATAAACCCATTACAACATTTACCGAGAGTTCTCTGAGAAGATATACAAAGGCTGTCAAAGCCTTTTTACGGTTTTGCTGGACGTAAAACCCAATGTTGTTGTTAAAGTAGGTTATATTTGGTACCAGACTGTTTGAGATGTCTGCAAAATTCTTGAATAACCACTGTCTCCTTGGCGTGATGTTTTAGTTAGGCGAACAGTGAAGGCATTAATGTTTCACTGATCGAGAATGGATGTAATGAAGTTTATGTAAACAAGCAGGGAGTTTGTTTATATCTTTGAATACAGCGATGGGGACTTGACAGTTCCCAAAAGAAGGAATAGAGGAATACAAAACATGCCTAGTGCATTTTGTGATGTCGATCTCTTGGCAAGATAAATGACAAAGAAATTAGCGATAATAACAAAACGATTTAAATGACTTATCGACAATTAATATTTTCATTTAATTAATATCTTGATAACTAGCTTACATTTTTTAGAATTGTATGAAAATGTGGAACCATAAGGCAGAAATCATTAGCTTTGACCCACACCTGGACATAAATTTTTGTTCGTTATTCGATGTTCACGCTGTGGAGTATCGGAAGAGCAATATACTTTTGGAAGTACTAAGATAGTTCTCCTTATTGATTATTTGAAAATTCAAAGCGTGGAAGGTTCATTTGATAAACAAGTTTGTAATCACCTGTCGGGCAGCAGTAGAATCTTTGACCGAAAAAAACATGGGACCAAGCTCGGCCAGCCACGTTCCATCCACAGCTGTAACACATTGCATATATTCCTTGAAAAAAATTGATCATTTATTCTAATTCGAACCTCCTTTTTTAAACGCAAAATTTCTCAATGTACTTTTTGCTAATGCCTGGGAGAAATCATAAGACACCGATCAACAAAATTTCTTTATTCCAGAAAAATAAAAAAGTGTCTACCAAAACCGAGATACAAAGATTAGCTAAAGCAATTGAATGTCAAATTTAAATGTAAATGAAATAACAGTCAGCCTTCAAGCTCATAAATTTGTTGATTTTTCGTATCTTTTCTGCAGTATCGGCAAAATGGTTTACGGTGTGAGCACAGGCTGATTGCACAAGAAAACAAAAAAGGTAATGAGTCTTATGTTCAATTCTGGTGCACAGCTAATGCACAACCTTAGTAGCCAACAATTCATTCCCAGCTGTTTAATAGAGAGTCATTGAATCGCGAATCAAGGTGAGTTTATATAGCAGTCAAGTATAAAAGCAGCATGAAATTACGTCACTGATCTAAAATATTACGGTATTCAAAGGTAGGGATTGAGTTAAAAGAAGACAAAAAGCATACCCTGGCGGTCATAATGAGCTCGTGGTAAACAACATAGTCCGGGCTGTACCCCATTCCATATAAGGCGCTTGTAGGGTGAAGGTGGCAAGGCATACCTGTACGTAAGTTCACATATTCACCGATGCCCTATTTGAGAAAATAAATATGTATAAAACGTTATCAAGCTATTTGTCATGAGCGTGGTCTATACAGAAATAAGGTTACGTAATTAAAAGCATTTTGATTGGAGCTTCTGTCAAGCAGCACAACTGGTTTATTTCATGGTGAAGTTTCACACTAAAGAGTTTCCTGTAACACTGGGAATTTATATAAAGTATTTATAGGTTAATTGGTACATGTTGATGCAGCCTTCTGTTGTTAAACAAGGGAATTTTGCTTTATGAACGGTCATACTAATATATTCTTAAATAATGACAGTTATCGTGTCTACAGTTGGATCGATCGCAAAGGAAATGACCCAGCTTTGACTACTTCAATAAAACCATTATTTCACTTCAAATATGTACTTTTCTTAAGCCTAATTAGGTGGCTGCGTTTGCTCAAGATCAGAAAATAGATTGGGTGCGGCGGAATTAACACCAAACTAACTTCTTTTAAATGAACTCCTAAAATTGTATTTCTTCTTGATGAGGAACAGGTCATTTTAGTTTATAATACGATAACTTCTTGTTATAAGGATATTATAAGTTAAATGTGACTTGTTTCTCTAAAGAATACACTCAGCTAGCAAAAATGCTTAAAGGAACCATGTCCAAATGAATGTCCGTGCTCTTCTAAATTCCCAATGGTTGCATTATACAACAGGCTATTGTTACGTTCTCCAATCATCATCGCGGGACTCACTTCAACAATTCATTGTTTGTTAATGTGCAACAGAACTTATTGCTAACATGAATGATCAACTGACGGGACATAGCGTCTTAATGAGCTAATCTGAGACGAAGTTTGTAGAGGTTCGTACCTTTAGTCTGGCAGCTTGATGAAAGTAAGCAGAACAAATACATTTCCTTATAAGATCCCATTCAAAGCCACATGATTTGATGTCCATCTTCAGTTGGTACATTATGTCTTTAAGCTGCGAACGGACTTCTCTTACCTGTAGCATCAAATAAATCAAAACGTAACGAAAAATATTTCAAAAAAAGAAGGCAAACAATAACCAACAGTTGGTTTAAAAATTAGCATCGAAATATAGTTAAAACTTTGAAGAAATAACAAAAAGAACTTCAACTTCAACATTTAATCACAACTTTGATTGTGAAACAACATCTATTGTTTATTTGAAGCTTATCTTTTTCTTGCTCTGTCTTCTCGACATTGAGCGCCTTTTTCACCAGCGAAGACGTATAAAAATCATTTTATACAGTTATACACACACAAATACGAAAACATATAATGGCTGGGGGATAAAATAAGCATTTATATAAAATTACTGCCGGTTGCTGATGCAGTAAAGTGAGATGTACTTGAAAATTGTATGCTAGCCTCTGCATCTCACCTTGCGCATGGCCTTCACATGTATGAAGTGTTCGTTGCACCATGATGCTGAATATCTGACAAAAATTGACGAATCATAAGAAAATATATAAAAAGCTGTTACATTTATATCTTTACCAACTTTTTATAATTCTGCTCTAATTTAATTTGGCAGAGAAATTTAATTTCGTTTGGCTTTAGATCTTTAGTAGTATAGATTTTTGAATGGCGTTTTAATGAGTTTTGGAACGTAATAAAGATGCCGAGGCCAAATCATACCACAGCGGCAATTCTTAAAGCTGCTATCAACAGCCAATTGTTTACAAAACCACCAAAAGGAACTGCAGAAGTGACCCGCGGCATTGTGGCATTAACCAAACTTTTACCTGACACAAATGATAGATGTTCCTTCTGTTAACACAGGCCATTACAAACCAAGTTTAATTATAGTCTGGGAAGTAGACCAAACGCAACAAAATCAAATTGTGTACCACAGCCAACTCACTCGACATAACTTGCCTCAGAAAGAGAACTTCAGTCTATTTAGCAACAAATTACTGACGAGAAATGGTATTTTTGTAAATACTTTGCACTTTCTCAGAAAATTAAATATTTTGCAACTTAGTGATATTGCACAGTTTGCAGTTGGTTAAACAAGGTTAGGGCTTTATACAATTAAAAATATTGAGATCTTAACAGAAATGTTAAAAAACTGATGTTTGGCAAAAATTGGGAATGACACATGCCACAGATGCTACAACTGAATAATATACTAGAGAATTGTATATAATGGCTTTACACAAATAGTGTGATATCTTTAATGCTTTTGTCTACACTACCAATAATGGTAATGACATTATACGTCAATAATTCATGGACTGTTCAAAGACTTTTCTTGAGCGACCCATGTTCCGTCTACCCCCTTCTTCGGTCTGACTTAAGTAAGCAACAGCTATAGATTGAGCCTAAGTAAATTTACTTTGTTTTTTCTATTCCTAAGATAATAAGGTTCAGATACTCACATAATCCCATCATAGTTTTAACTTTGCTGAAACTTTCTGCACTTTCCATTAGGTATTAAGAAACAAAATTCTGTACTAATGCCTATTTCCGAAATGACAAAGAAGAATACTTTTAGTTGTTATGGCAACTCACTCGTTAGCCTTCCATTGTTGGTAAACATGGAGGAGCGTTAAATGGTCACTCTCAGGAACCTGGAACTTTTCTCGTGCATTATCGCTGTCTTCTTCGCGTCCTTTAGGCCGGTAAAATATTGAAGGAACCGACAGCATAGAAACAATAATCTGTAATTAAGAAAACAGAATAGAAGGTTAGAAAACAGAATGAAACTAAAGTCAAACCCGCGACAAGGAATACATCCAGAAAATGGGCACCTAGAGCCCAACAGAGAATTAAGTTTGTTTTAAATTTCTTTCCTGCTTTCAAAGCCTTCTAAAATGAACCTTCAGGCAACAGACATATCTCTTTGATGGGCTCTAGCTCTGGTCACGCCTATTAAGAAATCAATAGCAAATCCTCTCTTGATTGCTGTCATTGTAAGGATGAAGGGAGGGAGGGGGGGAGGAGGATAACTTCTTGCTTTTGATTTACTTTACCAAGCTTATTTGAAATGTTTATAAGGAACATTCTCATGAATGCAACGGTTATCATCGTCTATCATCTTAGGTTACTGTATTAAAGTCACAGAACAAACGACAGTTGACATTATTATTCTTACCAGTACGTCATCACTGCATCCCATATCTAACGATGTTATCAACATTTTCGATAACGCAGGGTCTAGTGGAAACTCAACCATCTTTCTTCCAAGGTTTGTTAGGGTACCAGTATTGTCCAAAGCTCCGAGCACCCAGAGCTGGTACATTGATGTTAGGATATTGTCCTGCAAGAGAGCAATTAGGTACAGTAGAAAGATTGAGTTGATTCTAAGAAAGCACAAGAGAAAGAGCAGAACTGCATGAGGCATGAGATGTTAAACCATTTTATTTTTCTTGGTTATTTTATTCCATAATAAATAACAAGGCAACCAAAATTAAGTTAGTAGTGAATGGATCAAACCAATTCACAAATTGGTTATTAGCAATTATGCCTAAAATAGAGAATTATTTTGACCAAGCATTCAGATTATTTCTTCGGTATCTCTGTGCCTTCGATAGCTGTCAAAATTCCTTTGCATGCGGCCTAAATAATGAGGAGTATTTACATATACTTGACGTGCGCTGACCATAATCACAAAGCCTACAAATACCAAATAGAGATCTTATCTTAATCTAATATGATAGGTGTATGGACGCAGTTTGCCACATGTCACAATTTAAGACAGATTGGATACGTGAAGTAATGAAGGCTTAAAAATAATGAGAATAATGAGGTCAATGTTTACGAATATTGTTATGAAACAATTTGACGCATATGCACGGCGATCGAGGGGAGTGAATCAACACGTGAGAAACCAAAGTTACTTAGAATGTGACGTAGATATGTCTGGTTAGATATGCCAATTTAGGAATGCAGCTAATGCACCAGACAGAAGATACGAATCTAGTAATGGCTGACTGTGGTATGCAGGCCTATAAATTATTGATTGTTACTTTATATATAGAAATTACAGGCTGATTAAAAGTATTAATTACATTATTAACCAAGATTAGTGGTAGGATTACAGAAGCAATTTATAATAATCTAAGCCTGCAAGGATAGAAGATGAAATAATATATCGTGTTTTGTTCATCGATTTCCTAAAGAGTTTTTGTGAAGTGACAATATTAAAAAGATTCTACCAAGCTGACTGACGGTATCCAACAGCGAGAGTTATGAATTGGCGAACTATTTTACTTACAAAGCATGATTTTTGCAGAGAAATTATTTCCTATCCTAAAACAAGCAAGAAGCTGACACGCATGGGAAAGAATCAACAGTTCAATGAAGGTGTGGCTGCATCCCTCAGCCCCACCTATTTTTTTGTGGAGCTCATACAGATAAGGAAAGGCTTAAGAGAAATTTGCAACCATCACAACGTTGTCTATATGACTAAAAATACCTGCGGAGGAGGATCCATGAAGTGAAACTCGAGTAGATTCTCAACATTGAGCGATTTCAGAAGCAGAACCACGTTTGCCAAATTTGTTCGCTGAATCTCAGGGACAGTCGTTCGCAACATTTCTTCCTTGTATTGGTGCTCGGTATATAGTCGAAATGCTTGCCTACAAGGAAATCGTGCAAGGATAATGAAATAAAGAGCGTGTTAGCTTTGTGATACACAGCTTTGCAGTTAAATGTATTCATGAACATTATCAAAAAGTCTTTTGCATCAATAATTCTGTGTTTAATAATAATAGTATAATAATAATTAATAATAGTATACATGGTCGAGTTTGTAAATGAAAATAAAGAGCAGCAAGCAGAAATGTGACGTACCCGGGTCCAGTCCTCCCAGCTCTGCCGGACCTTTGATTAGAGTTCGCCTTGGAAAAAAAAGTTCAATCAAAATAGTCATTTATAGTATCAATAAATCACCCAACAATTTGATATACAGTTAAAAACATCAAGTGTTAAAAATAAAGTTTGAATAAGTCTTTGCTCATAATTTGGACATTGAAACAGGAAGAATGAAATGCGATTGGAAATGATTGCATTTTAGCGATAATGTTGTTAGCAAATAAATTGAGTACCAGAATGAAAATATATTAGCTTGATTGTTAAAAACACGACGTTTCGTTATTTTGGATGGAGTACTACACGCAACGCACATATTTGATTACATTTTAAGCTCTTGAAAATTGGTTGTGTTTATCAAGATATGATAACATTTCATTGTTTTAAGGCGAAACTTATAATAAAATGCACACATTATAGATAATACATACCTGGCTAATGGGGAATACTTGCAAAGAGTCCATGCCAATTCTCGGATTGAACACCTTCAACTTGCAATAACCAGCGTCAACAACAAACATGATACCATCGACTGCAAAGCAGATGAAATACGTTAACTATTTGAATAACTGGCAATATGATTGATTGGCCTAACTGGGGCATTTAATGCTAGATTCCAATATTTACAAACTGAGCACTAATTTTCTTTAGATATAGAAATAAAACAAACCAGTCAAAGATGTTTCTGCAATATTCGTGGCTACGATGCATTTTCGTACGCCATCCGGGGCTTTTTCGAAGATTTTCGCTTGCAGATCACTTGGAAGTTGAGAGTAGATAGGCAAGACAGCCAACGGGGGTGCTTCGTCAACTTCTGCCAGTCGCTCTACGTAACAAAAAATATGAGAATAGCAACAAAAGAATATAGCTATTTTCAACTAAAGAATCTTTTGGTTCAATCGAAGAAGTGTGTGCTATGTTTGCTTTTCTGGGTTAAATTCGTTCACACCAAGATTCAAACTTACTGCATTAAATCACACAATGAAAAAATCACTTTCATTTTTATCTACCATGACAACTTGGCACGTCCCATTCCACGTGGCACGTCGATGCCATATGGGCAGAGCTGTACACGCTATTTGGTGTATAGAACAGGACGACTCTAAGTTGCAACTCCGAGTTTCACGCTTAATGAGATTATCAAGCAACTGGAGTTCTTTACACTTAATGCTAAATCTATAAAAGGCTTTCTGAACCTGATGTATTTGAAAGTCGAAATTGGAACAAGAAAATGCAACAGACAGTTGCAAAATAAACTGATTTCTTACCTGAAATCAAATCACACGTAACTTCAATGTCTTCTTGTCCTGGCATAAATATCAGTATATCGCCTAAACGAAAGATAAACACCATTCTTAACAGTTTGCGCCTTGTCAAGCAATTGCCTACAATGCCTGCTAAAAGTCTTGGAACACTGACATCAATTTCCAAGGTCAAAACCAATCATCCCCCTCTCCCCCACGGAACAATGTTGGTTTACTATCAAACAGGCTAGGATTTTAGGAAGCACTCTCTTTTGCGCTTCTTTCGTGATATTTCTCTAAATCATCAACATTGTTTGAGGGGGAAGGGGGCGGAAGTAGAAATTTTTTTTCATGAAAGGAATGAAAGATATCAAATGCAGCGTAAATTGGTGGGTGTTCCAAGTACTTTTGGCAGGCATTGTCTGAATTTCAAGAAGATTTAATGACCGTTCCTTTTTCATAGGCTGTTATCAAATCACTAACAACGTGAGCTCGTCGTCAAACTTCCAAATTTGTGTCTGTTTGCATCAAGAATTACTAAAATATATTTGAAATTTTCACATATAAGAAATACACTTTCTGCGTCAGATTTTAATTTCACTTAACGAAAGTTTGAGGCGATCACCATCTTTCTTTCTAGTGCTTTATTGGCAATCCCTTTGAAATGAATTGCTGAATTTCAGATACAAAAAAAACAAAACGAGTTTGAGCTTTCTGATTCTTGAATACCCATTTGCTACTTAAAATAGCTACATTTGTTTACATTTAGTTAGAAAATTTTATGTCTGATTACCAAGATGAAAGACGACAGATCAAATAAGTCTTCAAATTTTCAATATTAAAATTGATCGGATTTACCTTTTGTTGGCGTCAAATGGATCTGAAGTGCTTGTTTGACAGCTCCATCTACGTAGTCATCGATCGTAGTCTTGCTGTACAAAACATCAACAGGAAATGTACGACCGGGGATCTAAAGGGCCAAATTTGCAAATTAGAAAATCTAATTAAGAAATGCGGCATCGAAATTTTCTTGTTCCAAACAGTATGTGTTTATCAAAATTATGATAACATTTTCTTAGAAATTAAGAAACTGCAGACTGGAGCTGTAAAATAGCCGAATAAAGATAGAATAGAACAGATATACAATTGGAGGCTGCTTTGATAAAAATTGAACTTTTTCTACATAAAAATGCAAATACAAATAATTATATAAGAGCTAATTTCCATCAAAATTGCAAAGAAAATTGAAAAATGGCAAATACTACCAGGCAAAAGCGCCTTATATACAAAGATGACATCCATTATGACAATAAACAATAAGAAAGAAAACAATTTGTAACAAAATTGTATTTTAAGAGTATTGGATCAACATTATCAAAATAAATTTAAAAAATCACAAACATACCGTATAAACAGGAACATTTCCAAAGAAATTCGAAAACTTAGTAGCATCCATAGTAGCCGAAGTAACTATGAGCTTAAGGTCATTTCTACGAGCAACAACCTGAAATTGAAAAATAGAAACACGATTGCGAGTTTTGCAGCAAGCATCAGCCTAAAAAATTCAATATTTTTATTATCATTATTATTAACAATTTCTTTAACGTTGGCAAGAAAGAACAAAAAAATACAAATATAGCTAATAAGCTAATTAACGCCAACAAAATAATTTAAAACCTACTTTACAATGTCCATACGAAACCTACAAAAACCCTAGATCTTTAATGAAAATTTTGCACGATCTGCAGATGCAAGTATTTCCATGCCATAATTTTATTTTTCGTTTGAACTCGACTAGTGTGTTGGAAAATATGCAAGGCGCGCCTGAATGAAGAATGCAAGGCGCACATGTTCATCTAACTAATATAAGATTATCTAATCTTATTTTAGATATTCGCTTTCGTGTTTCCTCGTAAATTTCATAGTGTTTTCTGGTATTTTAATAATTTAACATTAATGGATCTTAAGATATGAAAGTGTTTAAATATTTTTACAAAACTGGCGAAATCATATAATAATAGTATGGGCTTAAAAGTGAATTGTGAAAAACAGCGATGAAGATAAAAAAATATATTAATCCCGCAATGTGATATAGTATACAATGATTCGTTCATTAAGGAGGCATGGCGTTGTGCTGTAGGAAGCGGCGGAAAGAAGCTATATTCATTACCAGAATCATTTTTCTTCAAAAGAAATCACTGAAAAGTGCAAAGAGGTTTGCCAGTCGGTTACCGCGTGTGATCCCTACTACAGGTATACCTTGACTGCAAGACCACGTTTACACGGGGTCGATCCAGGCCGAGATCGATCCCAAACCGGTACGGATCGGCCTTCCGTTTACACCGGAACGCTCGGTTTCGATCCGCTATCCGTATTAATTTGGGTTCGCTTTGGAGTGCGTTCCAGCTTGGGATCCCAAACCAGATCGAACCCAGACTGGATTGGTTCCTTTTTCCCCATGTAAACAGGGTTTAAAAAACAAACGGGCAAACTACCTCTCGTAAAAGGCCAAACAGAACGTCCGTGTTCAGGGATCTTTCGTGTGCTTCGTCCATAATAATCACGCTGTAATGGTCCAAATCAGCCTCTTTTAATGATTCACGCAGCAAAATCCCATCCGTCATGTATTTTATCATTGTTTTCTGGAGAAGAAAAAAGTATGTTTATAATCTGTAAGCAGAGAAGATGTTGCAGATGCTTTTTTGCATCTAATAAAATTACCGCGAGACATTCAAATTAAGCATATGATGCATTTTAAAACTCGATTTCATTGTTTCTTCTACAATAAGTATCAAAAAGTCTTGGTGCACTGATTTAAGAAACGAAGTCCTAACCAACAATGCTTCTGTCCTTTGAAGCCATTTTACAAAGCCGTGACGAAGGATGATAGTAAAAAATAGAATCAAAATGGAATAAACAGTTTACCTTAGTTACCTTCTCTCCCTGATAATAACGTTGCATTTTATGTTGACTTCAAAAAATGCAACAGCTCTTTTATTTAAAAAGTCACCAAGTCATTTTTCTTTAACTTGATTTTTCCTTTCTCGTCCCGAATACTATCCTTTCGCTTCCATCCACTTCCCTCCACTTCCCTCCACCTCCCTCCTCCTCCCTTCTCCTCTCTTCTCCTCTCTTCTCCTCCTTCTTACCTTTCCTTCTCCCCCCTACCTCCAAAGCCAATGTTGATAGCTTAGACAAGTATCAAACAAGTTACATTCCATTATTCACCAATCATTGGTGTTGTGAAACATTTCAGAGAAAAATTAGTTCTTTTTGTACCTTAATTAGAGTATAATCTAAAAGAAAAAAATCCACAAGAGGAAGGGAAGTAATTCGTGATCAAAATATTCCCTGACGAAAAAGAACATCCATACCTCATTCGTTACATCTTCGAATCTAATTGCATATCCAACTTCATCGCCTAGGTGTACTTTCATTTCTTCGCTGACACGCTTCGCAACTGACATTGCAGCAACCCTACGAGGCTGAGTGCACCCTATCATACCATATTTTGTATATCCATCCTCGTGCATATACTAAAAATATCAGAATACCTCTATTCAATACTTCATTACGAATGAAGCTCTTTTCTATGAAAAATCAAATGCCTAGCCAAGAATTATCATAGCATTTATGTAAACTTCGGTTAGGTATTTCTTCGAACGTTCAAGGCAGTCTGTCCTCTCAATGATTGGCCAATATGAACAATTGGTATTCCCGCCTTGACAATTGGGGTTCGCTTTGGCTGGCCTAGCTGCGGTAGTGGACGACATTTGAAATTGCGAGCAAAAAGGCTATCGGAAATGGCAACAAAATTTAATTACTGGAATTGAATGATGATAATGGAAGCATTTCTTTCGCTGATGACATATATGTTGCATGAACCAAACAGGGAACAAAATTCTTCTAGCCACAGCTTCACTTCAAGGGGAACACAGTCATTCGATACAAAAGCTTAGGTTTAAATCGTTTAATTATCGATCAAGCTCAAACGGTGCATGAATTTCACTCCCGTGGAAATAAATTTGTGCACAATAGGGGACAGACTGCCTTTAATAAAAAGGTTTATAAAAATATATGAGAAACTTTTTATTAATATTATTGATTGCTATGGCATAAAATAGGAAGGGAATTATAATAGGATATAGTTAAAAATACATGTATCAGTTGTTACCATCATTTACAAGTCTTGATTCAAACCAGATACATCAAATTATGTGTGATTGCTAATCTTGTTTGTCTATTTTGAATTTACCAAATTCCAATGTTTAAAATATAAAAGCTGATTGGAGTTTCCAAAGTATTTCTTATTAGCCTTGATGTTGAATAATAAATAACATTCAATTCTATAAGATCTATAAAACGAAGTGGCTATTTTTAAAGACACAACATTGTTTATTGAAGATCACTGCCTATCAAGGAGAAGCCCTTACGTTTTGCCAATAAAATACAGTCCGTTGATTACCGCTTTCATATCAACTATGTTATGCAGGCTGTGCATAAACGTATTTTGTAATCTGAAGTCCAAAAAGCCGTGCTATTGCCTTAATGGTTTGAATTCTTAGACGACCTTGGAACTAAGCATGATATTTGACAGTTTTTTATGAATCTAGTTAAGTTCCAAAGGATCAAGGATCACATGACGTGCTTTAAAACAGTTCGAAGCAATTAAACGCAAGATTAATTACTAGTCCAGAAGACGAACTTTATCAAGACGCCAAATTCCTTAGTTGGAAAAGATATTTCGTTAACATATTAAACAACAAAAGCGGATTGAAACCTCACCCTGAAAGAACACCGATAAAGATTGGATGCCTAATGACAAGGGCAGGGAAAAGAAGCCTTAAAAGAGAACGTCAGAGTTCAAAGAAACATTGCCAAGGTGTGTCGCATCAAAATCACCCACAACTATTCTAAGCGGATTGAATAAGAAAGCTTAACATGTCCAGAAAGAAACGGAAATTGAGCACAAGTATAATAACAATGATAAGTAATCAACACGATTTTAAGCTGATTTGTTGAAACGACAATTACTGTTTTCCGTGACTAGGAACTTTCCTGGTGTCGACATAAACAGAATGAGTTGGTTTCCACATAAAGTATGTAATATCACACGATTGTCAGCTGAAATTTCGCTACGTCATGCCAGAACAGGTTTTCAATATAGGTGCATCATATCACAGTAGTTTATTCATTCTTCTACTTATAGGCCTAATGAGCAAGTAGTATGTGGGACCAAAATTCAATAACATAGAAAAGCGTTTAGCTGCTTTTAGCCATAAAAAGCTAATAGCTTAGAAGACAGAGCTACGTTGAGGGTTAGTTTGTTACCTGGGTGAGCTGCGTTGTCTTTCCTGATCCAGTTTCTCCAACAATAACGACAATGTTATTGTCTCTCACGATACGTAATAGCTATGAAGAAAAACATTAACTATTTAAATTAAACCCCCAATAACAAAAATCCAAGAGCTTTGTCACTATCGTAAGTCATATTCGCGTTTATACTCATTTATACATATACTTATTGAAAAAATTATAATTAAGTATAAATATAAACTAAATGAGATCAGAGGAAGCTATCCTAACGAAGATAACGAATAAGATCAATGAAGGGAACTAAGAGAAAATGGAAAAGTGTCTCAATGCTTTCTAACCGACGAAGTGATGTTCCACTGTGTCAAACAGTCTGTTCTATTGACATAGTTTGCCGTTTTTGCAAATATACTTTTATTCAAAAGATTTTTCAACTAATGTAGTCATAAAAATGTGTCTTCAGAATTTGGGAATTTGGACCAAATAGCCTGAAATAGCATTTTTAAATACTTTAAATATTTATTCAGATTCGTTATAAATTAACCAAGAGATCGCTGAATGAGTACAAGCTCTATCCCGTCAAATCACTGTTATTTAGTCTCTGTTTATAACCTTATAAACCAGGCCATTTTAAAATCTTTCGTTTGCAAACCTTCAATCTTGCATTGACCATATCTCACCAATTTTGTAAAACTATAAACCTATTTTTCACTTTCATGCATATTTCAAGATGTTATCTTAAGTTATGTGAACAGACGTCAAAAACTTAAAATTGACTTTTTTATGATGGCACACTTTATAACTTTTTGGCCCACGTAACCACCGTATAAGATAAGTGGTTATGTTCTAATAGTCAAGTGTTTGGAAAGTCTGTTACTTGTCTATCAGAAAATCATGCAGGGTGGGCACGATAGAAAACATAGCGGGAAACAAATAGTCGTGAAAGTGAATGTCAACATCACAAAGCCTGCTCTGGGTTGTTGGTGCTATCGTGAATACACCCTTCTTTGATAACAAATTTCCTATCAAAAGTCAGAGGTTTCTACAAAAACACCATCATGGTTTGTATGTACAACGATTTTACAGATGAGGTTATGGGTTTTTTGTAATGAAGATTGTCGAAGAAACAGATAGCGATTGAGGTCAAATGTCAAAGCTTGTCACAATCTTAAATTTGAACAACCGAATCCCTCTATTAAAGCGTAAGCAATTTTGTAGCAAATTAACTCGTCTGAAATGGGAAATCACATTTGAATTGCTTTCATACCATGTCATAATATCAAATTCTAGGCAAAACATAGAAACATCTGAGAAAGCCATCCTAGTAAAGGATAAAGGCTTTTGATACCCCTCTAGATATTATTGAGATGACCAGCAAATTTCGGCTCAAGAAATGTTTTTATGCGTAGCATTTTGATGTCTCAAAAAAACCTATTTGGTATTCTGCTAATTGATATTCAGATTAGCGTCTGTATAAAGCACTTGATGTTCTTTATTTCTTCAATTCACCCAAGCATAAAGTCATTCTTGTTAAAAAAGAGGCTATAGTACTAAAATGTGATGTTCCATTTGAAGTAGGTACATGAGCGCATGAACATGCGCCTATAGATCTATAGAACTATCATCATTGCATTTAGATAACCAACAGCATAAAGGCACATGTTGAAAACTTTGAAATAACCTCTGCTTAGTTAAACATAATTACGTAAATACATAGCAGAACTAAGTAGCAACGATTAACCTAAACAGAAAGAATATACGGTCACGCTAATCTCATGAACTTTGTTGACTTCGTGAACTTAATAGCTGCCCATCCCCTCCCCCCCCGAATCGTGGAATCACTTCTAATTCTCCTCTCCCCCCCATCCCCCATCTCCAAGTCATGGAGCCACTCCTCACTAATTCTTTTAAATTATGACAAAACATTACAATAAAAGAAATCACGAAACAAACGCACAATTTCATTGCGAGATTCCAACAATGCGAAGCTAGCAGATAGACATAGTGTTGGTAAGGAAAGGCAACTCACCTCTTGGCGGACTGCAAATATAGGAAGAAACTCCCTCTGCTCTTTAAGTGATTTCTTCCTTGCGAAGTCACTGACACCCTCATTTTGATCGTTCATTACGTCAGCATAACGCTGACTGGACTTGTAATCAACATCGTTCTTGTTCTTATCCTAAAACATATTTTTGTGAGAAATCAGCTCCACCTTAACTCGAGAGTAAATGGCAAAAAAACTAATTCACTTTGATAGTCAGAAAGATGGAGATTATGTAGCAAATCAAGTATGATGTGTTAATAGGGTTTGCGCGGTTTTTGACCGATTCCACGTGGAACTCGAACACATCTGCTAATTACGTAAAAAAATTCAATATGGTGTAGGCCGTTTTTTACGGGATACAAGAAATATCAGATAGGAAAGATGCTATCAAAACCTTCCAAAAATTGTATTTCATCTAAATCAGTTTTTCATCAGAGTTCAGATGTAAAATTTAAGCAGTAAAAATTTTGGTACTAAAAAAATCTAAAAAAAAAGCAAAGCTCTTCCATAATTGGTAATTAAAAAAAAATTCTGACAATAAGAATGATAGTACTGTCATAAAAATAATACAAAATAAGTTTCACCTTAAAAATAAATACAAATATAATTTAAATAAGCAAGATCAAATATCCTTTCAGTCCTGCAGTTTATTTGAATTAAAACTAACAGATACAAATAAAACAATTTACAGTAGAATTATGAAAACATTAATATTAACAGAAAAAGTTATGATCATGTATGTGTGTTTTAGTCATGATTTTTAAACTCAATAAGGTACAAGGTTAATTTATCGTAGAACAAACGGAATGTCATAAAATCATTGGCACAAAATACTACAGTAGATTCGACGACTTTGTTTAAATTTGTGGCGTCATTCTATGTCGGCAAAATATTAAGCGATTACATTTTAACAATTTCCATATCATCGTGTGCTTTTCTACTTAGCTTCACATATGCGTTACGGCATATTTGCCACAAATGTGTTTTGAAATTTTCTTAACAAATTCTTTTCTTGTGTGCACAAGCGATCTTACAACTCAACACAAACGAGAAACAATTTACAGTGCTCAGTTCCTGAGCTAATTGATCTAAAACACGATGATACGTATTCTGCTATAAAAACTAAGAAAACGATTTCTCTTTAGCCTGAAACGGCAACAACAAGACTTCACCAAACTGAACTAAACTTATGTCTGTATGCTAAATGACCTGAAAACAGTGAAAATCCTACACCCACTTAAGTTGAGAGAATGCGTACATAAGCGACAGCATTACCTCATCGTCTTCATCCTTCTTTTTGATCCCCATGATATTGCCAAGCTTTGTTCCCGCAAGCTCCCATTCCTTCTTTTGGGCCTTTAGCCGCTCTTTTTGTTCCCTGTGCAACCTGACGACATGGCATCCTTTGCGTGCGACAGTTGCCATATCTGAGGTAGGGTCCTAAGGGAAACGATTTTCAAACGTCAAATCACACAGTGCACGCATCATAAGTATGTTCAAGAGACCCAAAGACAACAGTGCTTGAATTCCCTTGACAGAATATGGATATATCACCTGCGTGCATTTTTATACCGAGGAGTGTACAGAAAAAGGTTTTCAAAAAATGAGTCTATGAGGGTCTAAATGCGGAACGAATGGAAACAGTGAAAGTTGTTGGGCTACATGAGAAGGCCTGGCCTAAAAACAAAGGTGCAGGGTGCGCTGATACAAGGCACGTGGAAACGCTACGATTGGTAAGCTGAGTATATTCTAGCTTAGGTGTTCTGGCAAAATGTTATCTCTTAAAAAGTTAACACTGGTGACTTCAAAACTGAAATTATTTAATAAACTTGAATATTTCTTGTTTTTTTACAGTCTAACCTATTGCTGGTTTCTATGAGACGATATTATAATAACCAGCATACTCTTTTACGCCCCACTCATTGGATAAACGTTTAATATGAGCTCCGCATGTGAAACTACTCTCTTTTTACATAAAGCTCTTTAGATAAGCAGTGTACCGGCGATGTATTTGATAACCTAAGAGTTTTACCTTTATTGGTATTACAGGTTCAGGCTGCTTAGTAAAAATGAACCTGCCGTCTAGAAATGGGGGGACAATATTATGAACAAGGAGATGGACTTTGGCCTCATCGGACTCATCAAAGTCTTCATCGAACTCTGTCCGCTGAACGACTCCACTCGTTAGTAAACGATTTGTCTCCCAAAGCTCGTTATCCTGTAAGATAAATGACAAAACACCATAAAAATCACCATCTTTTAGTCAATTAGTAATTATTTGCAAACAAATTTTGGTACTACAATAGTTAAAAATGACTTTGAAAAAAGCAAACATTTTGAAATATACCAAAGCTTTTTGTTTACCATTTTTCAGAGTGTAAAAAGTTCAAAGAAGAGTGTCAGACGATAAAACTGTAGTATGTTTTAAAATTTTTGCTTGTCTCATCAAAATGTTTGCTTTTTTCAAATCCAATAAGAATTTTCTTGTAATTAATAAAAATGTGTGCCTATGACCTTTCAGAAAAATACACTTAAATCATAAATGCTTATGTTAACTACATAATACTTAGCAGCAAATTTAATGTCATTCTGGGGATAGGTAACAACATTCAAGGATCTCTACCTACAATTTTAAATGTTAAACAAAAAAGTAGAAGTGAAGTGATAGAAATATAATTATTAGTAGTCAATCTATAAATCATTACACAATACTATTAAATATCCAACAATTTTAAATTACCATTTTTAACAGTGATAAAAAACAATTCTAACACGATTTCTTGCTTCAATGACACATGCATACCTTTCTAACTTGTCTCGCCCTGGCAGATATTTTCTTCTGTCTTTGTTTCTTAAGGGCTTCCTCTCTTTTCTTGGCATATTCTTCTGATACATTTGCAAAAGGATTTGAGTTTTCATCGTAGCCAGCATCCATGTCATACCAAGCACGGTCAAGTTTCTAGAAATCACAGAACATCGATTAAAACTAGATATTTGCAAGGATTGCCAATTCATCAGTAGCAATCAACTTTTTGTTATCAATTCAGCATGCAGAGGTACTTTTCTACCAATAAATCACGATTCATTCTGAAATAAACTCGTCAAATTAGTTCTTGTTACAAATAAAAACCCTCTATTGCCCCCCCCTTGAATGAATTAGAAGTATAGAGAGTGCCTAAGGCATTTTTCAAAGAAATATGTTGTACTGAGAGCAACATGATCTATACAGAAGCTACACAAAGATATATTTGTTGATTGATGCAAACCTTCTGCTCTTCTTCCCATTGTTGCTTATCCTGATTTGGAAGTTTTCCATCATCATCATCCTCATCTGAATCTCTTCTTCTGCCTAAAACATGACATTCTTGCACATTCAACTTGTATGTTTATCTCGTAGGCAATTGGAGTAAAGAAAAACTTTGATTCCACCATTTAACACATTTATACACAAGGCACTATGCCAGTCTTGATGACTACATTCCTTGGCATCAGACTGGCACGAGTTTTTTTGCTAATTCATCGGTGTAAATAAAAAATTTGAAGTAGATTCCCCAAATATTGCATATGTGAGTGCAAAACAGAATTTGTGACAATTTAGTTGTGACCTGGTAACTCAGTTGGTAGTACAATGAGTCAATGTTTTGCTGGTTAGCGTCCTGTCCTAGTCATGTCTTGCTTTTCCCTCAAACTTTCTTCCAATATACAAAATATATTCCTTTGATGTACAGAAAAGGAGGGTTCTAAGTTGCCACTTTGAGTTTAATGCTTCATGCAATCACTTACAATATTTATGGCAAACTAGAAAGATCAATCAAACCTGCCTCAATTAGATCAGGAATTTGATTGGGATTGACAAATTGAGGTACCCAGCAGGGAGACGCTACTTGCCTTACTTATTATGGCAATACATGGAATCTTTCAACCCTATAAACAAAAATGTATGGCACAATCTTTGTTATCCACATTCTATGCATATATGCCTATGATGATAACCAGATGCTTTATTCCAAACCATTTAATCCAAATTGCCTCTTCCTTTTAAATGTCTCTATTCCTTCTGCATTCTAATAGCTAGAGCCATAACAATTATATGCACATTACAAACCTCTTCTAATAGACCCTGGAGTTGTACCAAGTTTTCTTTTGTCATCAGCCCAAGCATTATACTTATGAGTTGGGGTGAACCTTGGTGTTTCCCCATCTGCAGGCATCCTTAAAAAGAGGACAAAGAATAATGTGAGTTTTTACCTCAATTTGGAACCATCTTTAATGTTTTCAAATATTCTAAAAAAGTCTTTGATAAAGGGTCACTGTAACAAATCACTTTATCATTGTATCATTGTTTTAACTATTTTGAAACACTTTGACTCATTTGTTCAAGTAAATGCTTTAATTTCACATGTAATCAAATAAAATAGCTGATGGAAGAAGGTACCTTCTCTCTTTTCTTTCTGAAGAGCTGGAGTATCTAGGTGACTCTATGTCCCACTTTGACTTGCCAGGAGTTTCATCATCCCAGGTGCTACGTGATGGTGTTTTGATCTCTATGAGAAATTGATTAATTGATTGATTACATACTAGCTGAACAAACTGACTGATTTACTACAAACCAAAAATGGATTGCTTCAAACATATCTTCATTTTCAGGCTTTGGTTGATATTTCATAATATAGTCATGTAAGTAGATTACTTTTGTCTGATCTATGAACCAAAAGATGAATACATATAGCCTATTCAATTTCTCTTATCCAGAAATTAACTGACAAAATAAATCTGATTTATATTAAGGACATCCAAATTAAATTAGCCTTTTCAAAACTTCACATTTTCATCATTTTTGCTGCTGCAACTGCTGCTTTTATTGAACAGAAACAAAAAAAAAACATTTAATATAAATCAACATGAACTACTTAGAAACTGGAGATGATTTTGAGCCACTTTTGAATTTATCTTATGTTATGGCAATCATCAGCAAATATTTGAATATTAAGTCCTTGACAAGTTTACTACATTTTTGTTGGACCTGGGTTTTTGATTACCTGATGCTTGAAACTGAACTAAAAATCCAAAGCAGTCAAAATGAGGCAAGCTGACAAGGTTACCCATGTCTCCCTGTATCTTTGCATTGAGAACATATAGCTGAATTACTGTACATGTAATTGTACATGAATTACTGTACATGTAAAGGAAATGCCACATTATTTTGCCACTTGCAATTGTAGCAGCAATTTATGTGAAGATTGTAGTCCTTTTCAAATTTCAAATTAGATGAAAAAAGTTCATTATGAGTAAATCATTACCTCTAGAACTTATTCTTGGAGTACTTTCATTGCCATCACTACCAGATCGCCTACTTCTACTTGGGGTATCCTCCCACTGCTCATATCCTCTTCTTGTACTTGAATGCCTTCCATAATCTTTTTCAGATCTTTTATCACCTTTGCGTCTTTCTGAATCACGTTTCATTTCTTTTTCTCTCTTTTTGTAGTACCTTGATGCTGCAGAGTCTTCATCAGTTCTTGCCTCTGTTCTACCCTTTTTCCTTTTATTATCTCTACTGTCTGCATAAACCCCCTTATCCCTACTTCTTTCATACCTCTCTTTTATCCTTGCTTGTGCCTCTTTATTTACCCCACCAGGATGTGATGGAGTCTCGGGTTTATATGCCCTGTAATGACGTCCATCTTTTTTATACCTCTTTTCGCTGTAAGAATCACTCTCTTCTTTTTCATCTTTATACCTCGAATACTCTTCCCCCGCTTCTTTTATCCTCGCCTCTTCATCTTTCTGTTTCCTCTTTTCCTCTGCAAGTCTCTTTAAACCAAGACGGCTTTCCGAAGGACGCTTGAACTCTCTGTTTTCTCCTTGATCTCCTGTTTTCTTTTTCTTAATAATTAGGCCACCAACCTCATTTGACGACCCTTCGAGCCGATCAATCGATGTAAACTTGGACATAACTTGGATACTACTGACCCTCCAGCTTTTGCAGTAAATATATGTGGTTCAAAATCAAGTCATTTTTACAATTACTAGGCCTCTTCCATGTCCATACAAATGTTTCACGAGTGATCGTAGTTTGCTTCACGACTTTTCCTGATTTCAGGCCTAAAAATCAGGCCTCGGTTCCATTTTGCATTACAAAAACGAGATCATATAAAATTTAAATTAGAAAATCTAATCAGAAAATCAAATCTATGAACCACATTCCTATTAAGTCTACGTTTTTTCTAAGACTTACATAACTTCGGTAATTCCCAAGCTTTGAGTTAATTTTGTATACTCTGTCAAAATGTTGAAATTTGAAACTGAAAAGATTTCGTCATTGTAATTTTGTAAAATATATCTTCGATGGTGATTGAAGTTTCTATTGGTGGTTCCTTCAATGAATTTTTGTACACTCTACTGTTTTTCATTGTGTAGTTATTGTTCATAATGAGTTATTTGTTTTTGTTATTTACATTAAATTGCCATTCTGGAATTGTTTTGAAACAAGGTATAACGAATGATAAGAAAAAAGGGTTTCTTATGCTGTAATTATCGTTCAATACGCAAACTTATGGTTTTAAGCGCAAAATCTTACGGCAAGACACCACAGTAGCTGGACAGGTATGGAGCCAGGCCAAAGCAACAGTACCCCCAAAAGCAAAACTCAGCCCCTTGCTCGCTAGATAGATAGAGGTGCGACGTCTATGTATTGTATTCTTTCAGGATCCAAAGTCAAACATAATGGAAATGTCTATTTTATGACGTCACCTTGAAATGAGTCCATTTCGATAAATATCTTGTCTTCGTAGAACTATGAATGAAAATGTGTCAACCAATGGAGTGAATAATAAATGGCGTGGAAGACGTGCTTAATGCAATTCAAACCACAAGAAAGATGCTATGTTTGAATGAATCTTTTCTGACTGGATTTCATGTGCTTCTTTATACTTAATCACACGTTTAACAAAAGAAAATTGCTTAAGCTAAGAAACAATTTGCTTAGGAACCAGCTCCTGCTTCCGGCAGTTTGCCAAAGTAAATTTTTCTAATCGGTGCTTCCTTCCAATGCTATTAGCGAGCATGGAAAATTTCAGCTTTAACAGCCTGCGAATGTTGTGTTAATTGTCTTGAAATGCATAGAATTTTACCAGGAAATATTTTAAGAATTGTGAGATCTGCATTTATGTGCGAATAATGAGTAAATATAGGGTTGGTAGTTTATCAACTGGTTCATCAAATTGAGAAAAACTGATGAAGGACGAAGCCAAAAAATTTTTTTTGCGGGTACAGAAATAACTTTTGGCAACGAAAAAGGCGTGTGTCACTCTTAAAAGGTGTGATAATAAGATGAATAATCTCATAATTTGCTTCTAGGCGTTTCTACTTCAAAATTTCTTGCTTTAGGCCATACTTTGAAAGTTCAACTGCTACAGAAGTGTTAATACATGACAATTGTTGTAAAAAGTTACAATCATACTACAGGGTGAGGAAACATGTCGTTTTTTCCCCCGAAAAAGTGATGGGGAAGGTACAGCGCCCCCTCCCACGCCCCCTTTGGCTACGCTCCTTTGGCAACGACTTGGAAATGCAGCTCTTTAATGTTAAGTACTTTGCCTTTTATTTCTTTTTATAGTTTTACATTTAAAAAACTTTTCGAGTGTTCAGCAGTCTCAGATTCCATGACCAAATAAATTTGCTTAAAACCCTTATGAATGAAAGCCAAGTTATTTATTAATAGTTCAATTCTTTATGATATGCAAAGAAACGATTTAAATTTTTCTAACTGTGAAGCTACGACAGAGCCCAGTAATCTAACTCTGATTAACAGGATCAGAGCCACGCCAAAAAGGAACTTTGTCAAGGCAGGCAATGCGTTGGGAAAGAAATTCATGTGTTACAATGATTACAAAGTTGCTTCATAACATTTGTTTTAATTTTGCATTATTGCGTCAATCTTTGGGGTTTACCGGCAAAAACAGTGCCTAAAAATGGTAACACAACTGCACAACTGCCCTTTGCCGTTCTTACCACGTCATTTTCTTGATAGTAGAAAAAGTGCAAAACTACTGCTATTCCCTCATGAGTGTAAGCATGTAAAAAGAACAAACCAGCTGTCAAAAAATGCTACTTTTGATTGCTTTTTGCAACACGTCGAAGGCATTTCATATTTGGAGGGGCGCAAAATGAAAGGGACACTGTGTCTTACGAAAACAAACACGTTCCTAAAAGTTATAAACAGAGTTCGTCTAAGAAAAAGGGCTGTTTTTTAAAGTTTGTGGGACATGTACCTCTTGGTGTTTCGACGCCCCCTACAAGGGTACAAGGTGTTCAGCACCAGATCCTCCCGTCAACGACATGTGTATGGCATGTTCTTTGTCTAAAAAGCCCTAAATGCACTCATAAACATTTCAAAATGTTCTCTATTGGCCCGAATGCCCTTTGTTGTGTTTTTTGTGAACAGATCCTTTATAAGGCCTAATTTTTAAGTAGATGTGCACCCCAAGCAGATGTGATTAAAAAGTCAAATTTCTTTGAATCAGTGTATTGAAACTGTTTAATTCTGTAAACTGCTGACCTCTAAAAACTGTGTCGGCGGCGAGAAGCTTTTATTAGAGTGAACAGAGGGTGAAAACTTTGGTAATGCTGGTTGGGCAGTGATAAATGACTTATTATGGCATGCAATAGCTCGGTAGTAAAGCCCTAAATGATATGGAAAGAAAATATTGGGACAGTATTGTTAAATCTTCCCTGTAATTATTGTTTCAACGGCAAAAGCAAGGACTTCAAGAGCGGCTTGGAAACTGAAACAAAATATAGCAGCACTTATAGGCCTATGCTGTGATTTTAATTGATTTTAACTAAAATAATAGAAGTAAGCATCAGTAAAAGATACGTTTCTGTGCATTTCTAAAGTGAGGTAGATGATAGGCTTGTCTGAACATCAGGCACCTATGTGCATAATACGAGCTTTTCTGCATCTTTGTATTTTAGTGAGAGCATTTCGGACCATGGAAGCGAAAGTTGTCAGGGTGGAATGCCTAGTAGCAGGAAGAACTGACCTTCAATTGAACCACTGGATCCACATTGCTTGTCAAATAGCATTCTTCATATAATGCGGACTGTGCAGACAAAGCATGCTCGAATCTTGGCTATTCCAACAGCGCGCAAGATGAAATCTTTGATAAGCAAAAGTTTTTCATTGATAGCTCTTAACAGTCTTATAATAATTGCCGTAGTAAATCTTTGGTTTACCATTTGCACCTGCTGGTTTATTTCACTGTCCCCTTATCTAAGTGTAGGTCTAATTTACGTTGGCTTCGTTCATTATCAATGATTATCTGTTCTAAATAATGCATGTCCTTCAACCTGAAGTTGTTCATCAATGTGATTGCTTATTTCTCATTGCGTCAATCCTTCCTGATGCTGGAAGCTAAACAAGGCAGGGAGACAGTTTTTTGTTTTGCTGAACCAGGAAACTTCATCGGATCGGTGAGTAGCGCAAAATTAATTCGATTTTTAACTATACAATTTAATTTCCTTGTTCACAAAACAAGTACTAGCGTCGTACTTATTTTGTGAAAAAAAAACGCAATGGAATGATATTCTTTTTTATGTTCTTCCCTAGACTGACGCTGCCAAAAACTTCATGTTAAGGAAGAAGGCTGGGAATAACTAGATTCCACATCAATTGTTTCCAATCCGATATGTGAAAAGAAAATATAAACCACTAAGCTTCAACCCCCAAAACTCAGGTATTTGCGATTTTATTGTTTAATGTTTTGAAAATGAAATAATAAATAGGATGGGATTTGTGGAATTGCTTGTACATGTTTCTTGAAAATTCTATTTCCAAATTTCGGTAGATGAGATCAATTCTTTCATAAGGATCAACTTCCAACAATTCTTCACCGATTTTCCTTACAGACATGAACCCAAAATTGAAAACCAATTTTGATAATTTGAAACTATTGTGAAAATCGCTTTTTCTCTGGGCGCAGGGATGGGCGTAGTGGAGGCTAAACGTTTAGAGGGGCTTAGTATAGGTCTTGCCCGAATATTATTGCTTCATTGAGATATAACTGCTCGACTGGGCCTACAATTTTAGCCAATGTTCAAGATCTTATATGAGCCAAATTAACTTGGGCCAAGTACAAGATAATTGTTAGGCTACTAACAATGTTCCCTTTAGGACGCAAGACCACTACTGAAAATAATGATGCCATTCTGCGCCAAAGACTTTCCAGTGTACTCCCCGACGCACCGAAGATCTTCCCAAACAGGCCTTCTCAAACCCAATCGGGATCTACAATATCTGAAACGCAAATTCTACATAAATCTGAAATGCCTTGTTTTAAAGCTCTAACAAGAATGCGTTATATACTCTTTAAACTTTGAATAGATTGGAAAAGAAAGTCAGAAACTTGTTTGAATGAATGCAAAAGAAAAGTTCAGTTTACGCTTTATCTGAAAAATAAAACTTGACTCTCTTCAGGCTTCCGCTTATCAAGGCACGGCTAAAAGATTACCAAGGCCACTTAATCATGGAGTACCCCAGGGCTCAATACTTGGACCATTGCTCTTCAACCTCTTTATAAATGACATATTTCTCTTCATCCAGGAGGGCTCCCTATGTAACTTTGCAGATGATAATACGATCTCCATTTTTGCTATGAATGCTGATGAACCCCATAGATTTGTAAAGCATTTCACCAATAGATGCATTGACTGGTTTATTTCAAATCATATGATAGCCAATCCATCTAGATTTCAGTCTCTAATTGCGGGAAATAATGACAATCACATTACAGAATTTTCTATAAATGATGGCTTCAAAATAATTGTAAGTAGCGAAGTAACTCTACTTGGAATTCAAATCGATTAAAAACTAGAATTTGACTCGCATATTGATAAAGTCTGCAAAAAAGCCGCCATTCAGCTGAACGCAATCAAAAGACTAGCTCGATTCATGGGCAGCAAAGAAAGAGTGGTAATTGTGAATTCATTTATTCTTTGTCACTTCAATTGCTGCCCGCTAATCTGGTTATTCTGCAGTGATGCAAGCCAAAAGAAGCTCGAGAAAGTAAACGAGAGGGCCCTACGATTAGCCCTCTCAGACTACATTTCATCGTATTCTAAACTTTTAGTCAAAGCTAAATCTACTACAATTCATATTCACTTCATTCGGCTGCTAGCACTAGAAGTTTACAAAACTCTGCACAACTTGAACCCAGCTTTTATGAATGAAATACTACTTTCTCCCAAAACCCAATAGCTATAATCTTCGAAAAATGGATACTCTATCTGTTCCAAAGGTTAAAACTACACGTTATGGTATAAAATCTTTTAGCTTTTTGGGTCCAAAGATTTGGATTTCTCTTCCAAATGAAATAAAATCATCCAAAATGCAAGTAAATTCAAAGTTCATATAAAAGATTGGTATTTCGAAAATCAATGCGCCTGTAACGCTTGTAGTCAATGACTTCCATAATGCAATCTCTTAAATTGCTTCATGTTAGTGTCTATTAGTGTTCACACTAACAGTAAAAAAGGTATCATTATTGTTATCATTATTATTATTATTATTATTATAAATAGATGAAAACAAACTGTCACTATCTTCCTCATTTTTGAACTATTTTCCCTTGGCTAAAACTGTTAAGCAAAATTAGCTATTTAACTTTGCTAATATGATAAAAACCTGGTTGCATCCCTTATAAGAAAAGGATTCACACTTGGCTTTTGAACCGTTACGCCCAAGCATTGCGAAAGGATGAAAATTTACGAACAAAGGTTCAAAACTGACGTGGTTATTTATTCAAGGACATCATAATTTCGACATGGGTGAGAAAAAATTTCACCTCCATCTCTATGCTGTATACAGACTTAGCGCCTCAAGTTCATTTTGACGGCAATGGATAATCAATGAAAAAAAAGAGTAATGGGTCCTTAATTGGGGTTTCTTGTGCAAGATGCACCTGCTTGCACTGCGTGGGTAAGCAAGAGCAGATCAAGAGCTTGCTTTCTGGACAGCTCCCTGTGTGATGATTCAATGACTAAGACTTTTCTTTATAATCAGCCAGCATAATCGTGAAAAATTTCTTCCAGCAAAATGATCCCCCACCAGCCTGTTTTGGCAATAGATTCGTTTTTCTGTATTCTGAGCTTCATTTGCTCATTCACAACATACAAAAAATTTAAAAACAGATCTAAGTAAAATGTAAGCAGGGGTTAAGAATAACATGAAATGTACGGTGTCCCTGGCTCGTATAAGAGTCTACCGCATACAGGAAAAATTATGCTATTTTATAATAGAAATTGCCGGTTTAATTAGTGCATCACGGGGCTATAGCAATTTGGACTGAGCTTTTTGCTTAGAAAATAGGTAACGTTTCTTCAAATTCACTCTAGTTGTAGCTAGCTATAGCTTCAGCTAGCTGTAGTTGGTTTTTGAACGATTTATCTTGATGCAGTTTACACTTCATCTTTGTTGGTTACTCTGTTTGACCAAATTGTCGGGCGGAATCTTAAAAAAATTAAAACATGCTGTTCAGGCTTGATCTTAATGGAAAATTCAGGTACTCTCAAGTTCCTAATTGTAGGGGGTCTAATAAGGAAAGGTTTGGCATTTTTTATTAAAAACCCTGTTTTGGGGGGTCATTATAGATTGAAGTGCTTAGATTTTCCAAAATTATGTTTAAATTGCGACGAAATTATGTTTATTATGCATGAAATACATAATTAGAGGGGGAGGGGATATTAACAAATGGAAATGGGTATGCAAAATTTCTGAAAAATGGAGCTTACCCCTTCCCCCTACAATTAGGAACTTGAGAACAGTCTTTTGAGACGATTGTGAATGCTTTTTTCTATTTATTTGAGTTCTAGTAAGAGTTTAAGAGCTTTTATTAAGTGTAGCATTATTTCAAATAGGATTGTCAAAGTCAGAATAATGTACAGAGGGAGAGATTCACCGGGGGTTGGAGGGGTGCAACACCCCCAGTTTTTTGTTTTTTTCGGTAAACTTTGCTTTTATTTGGTAAAAATGCTTTTTTGGTAGTCAGTAGTATCAAAATGGTTTCGAAAAGTTGCCTTCTTCAACTTCTTATCCTTTTTACCTTAAATTTAAAGACTAGATTTTGAAAATGGGCGTTTCTATCAGTTTCCAGTCACCTGAAGAGTATGACACAAATTCCAATCATTATCCAACACCTCCCACCTTTTCCCCTACTCTCCCCCCCCCAGTTCTTGCCACTTAAATCTGTCCCTGTCTACAAATCAAAGCAAGGAAGATTATTAACAGGAAAAAATTCATAGGGCGTGTACACATTTTTTATATTTGAACCGTCAGCGGTAACAAGCAATAGGAATCACGCTCAACTACAAAATAACACCCTACAACATTGAAAAATTCAACCAAAGACGCTCCAATTTGAGGAAGCTTTTAGAAATTTTAAAGGATCACATCTTTTAAACTTTCCTAGAGTAACTTGCTAGAGTCATTCAAAAAATATGTAACATAACCAAAATCAGCAAAAAGCAATTCTTCGTCTAAACAATTTAGGTATTGCCCCTGACACTTCTAAGATGCCAAGCTACTCATCTACCGTGGATGAAAAATGTCCCATATCAATAATAAATAGGGGTCTGAAGATGAGTGCAAAATTCCCCAGTTAAAATAAAGAAGGATAATAGCTAGTAGTCCCCCTAACTTGAAAACAGAAGGAATAGAAACCAAACTCTGGTTTTTTAAGTAGAAAAGCTTGTTTATAACATGGCAGAATATTAAACTCTTTATTTTTGCTTTCGATGCCCCTGCTTACACTACGATTAGGAACTTCGTCAAATACGCATCGCAGTTTTTGAACACACAAGGCTCAAAAGTAATTCACAGTGGGTACCCTGGGTTTCAGAGCATCAAGTGGGACGTTGGAGAAGTAGGGCGTTCAATAGGGCGTTGCGGGAAGGAAGAGATTGCGGAGGAGGTGAGGATAGAGAAAGTTTTTATATAGGGATGTCATCGGTTTTTTTTGATAAATTAATAAGCGGGGGAGACGTTTATTCCGGACTCGATAGTAAACAAACCCTTTTTTGATAAAAAAGAAAATTCAAACCAATAATTCCCAACAATTTCTCCAGATAATTGACAGTCACCCACAGTTCTGCTCGTTCATAAACAATTACCTTACCTTCGATGTTCATATTTGACACCAACGTTCTCGGCTTTACTTATCTAAAGCATTAAATCCAGTTGACTATCTAC